GAGAAGCGAGCCTCGCAACTATCACTCGTCGTCCCAACGCAGAAGATGTTTCGCATGAAGTTTCGTGGATTTGTGGATCTCCTCCACATTCGCAATCGGTAGACGGCAGTACGGACAACATTTCTCTCCTTGAAATGCTGCATAGCACACCGCGCAAGTGAAATGATCGCACGGGAACGCCACCGCGCGCACACGCAGCAAGTCCGAGTAGCAAATGCTACACTGCAATTCTTCTTCGACCAGGCGGTTCGCCAGCGTATTGTGTCGTTCCCCCGAGTATTTCCTCTCGGAATCCTTCGCAGCACAACGACGACGTGTCTCGACCCAATTTTCCATCTGCGTCATCGCGTCCATCGCTGCTGGAGCACACGATGCCGGTAATCCATTCCACAGTAACTCACGAGCAGCTTGACGCACGCGTTCATCCACCTCTTCTTCATCATCATCTCTCAACGAGGTTGTCGCCGATGTCATGGACGCACCAGTACCTACCGACGTTGTAAGTGCGTCGGCCTTGGCAAACAACGAGATGAGCCCGCCCACTACAAAGCCAGCCATGCCACCGACTACAGCCCCCACCATGGCCCCTGCCAGCACTTGATTCGCATTGGAGGTCACCTGAGGTGACGCTCCGAATCCGTAACGCGCCCACGTCACGAAATGCTCGCAGTTGTGCGCGAGGTAATCGTACTGTGTCTCTCTGAGCCTCGACATGGCTCGTTGTACCACCTCGTCGCCGTTAAATGGGAGCAAATTGTGATCTGCAAACATTTTCTCGTCCAGCTCGTCCGAAAACTTCTCGGGCGGCTCGGCGCCGGAACCAGCGGACCTTTGCACGAAGCCGATGGAGTCCACGCGCACTTGGAAGTCGCTCTCTCCCCATAAGTGAACCACTCGACCGCCACCCGCATACAGCGCCAGGTGACTGTACTGCCCGCGGTCGAAGCGAATCACGTCCCCAAGAGCGAACGCCATTACGCGACTGTTCGCAAATGTTGAAATGGAAGTCAAGAAAAATGCCTAAAGTTGCTTAAAATCAGATGGGTTCAATAAAGAAGCACTATGTTGCTCGAGTGCCACTCTAAGTTAGAGTACTTCTACTTACAGTAGTCTCTAACCACAGGGCACTTTTTAGGGTCGAAGAGTCATGCGCAGCGCTAAGGCCGTGCGGAGCGACCAGCCGTTCCGGGCGGGGAAACAGCAGCCCATGCGTCGCTACATGTCTGCAGGGTCTAGCCCTATTGCGCTGACACCCAACTTCTCGAGTCTGTCGCCGCTGTATCCGCTTCCAGGGTCTCCGCATTCGGCGGGTTCGTCACCGTGTTCCACGAGCTTGGACGACGCTGTCGGTCGTCTCTTCACGCGGTATTTGCCGACATTCTTCGATCTACTGGAGAAATTTCAGTACCAAAAGGTATTAGTTCTTAAAGTTGTGGCATGTACAAAGGCCTCACGTGTTCTGTAGGCACTGATGATCGTGGAGGACGAAGAGGAGACGCAATGGAAGAGCTGGAATGCTCTTAAAGTCATGCTGAAGCTGGGCGCGTCGTGTGAGAGCACGTGCGTCGTTTATGTTGCTTGAAAAACTGCTGTGTGAATGCTTGAAGCTGATTTGAGTTGCTGCAGGTATCACTTGATGAAATATCTGGAGGCGGAGCTAGTGGAGACGGACACAATCGAGCAAATGTATGGCAAGTTGGTCGTGCTGATGAATCACTTGGCAGACGAGCTGAAACCCATTGTGGCGAGGCAGAGTCGACACTTTTCAGTGCACACGCCGACGCCCAGTGGCAATGGGAAGGCGAATGGAATTCGAGAGGGAGAGAAAGAGTGTGAAAATGACTCCATGCTTATGATGGAGATTGCAATGTGTGGAGACATGAGTTACTACGTTGAGTTGCTGGAGCAAGGAGCGGAGTTTTTCTCGGTGAGTTTGGTAGCAATTATTGGTTTATGCAAATTGTAGCTTACTTGGATATTTTTTCGCAGCTTCGTGTTCCGATGATACAATTCTATCGTGGACTGGCACTTTCCTCTGTGCCTCGAGACTACCACAGTGTAAGATTGGCTTTTTGTGGAGTAATTTGCTGAATTTTGGAGCTGAAAAAATGGTTTTCTTGGTAATAATCATTCAGATGCTGAAACGACTGGAGAATTTGCTGCTTCGCTTTGACGCATTCGACCACCCGTTGCTGGAGACGATGAAGCAGTCAGCCATTGAGGAGCTGAGTACGATGCATGCAGCCATCCAGTGTGAAGTTCGCGTGGCAGAGTATGACTTCACGCGCTCGATCGTGGCACTGCATCGGCTTAAGGTTCAACTGCGCTCTTGGAGTGACCATATCGATAGTGTTTCAGACTATCCGCTATTTGAAGGCAATGGTGTAGACTTCGGTGCTGGTGGTGAGGAAGAAGGACTGCTACTCGATGAATCGGATGATAACTATGGCATCACATCGGACTCGATGTACTCCAACACGAGTTACCAGTCCTCGTCATCGCTTGCCCGTGGCCACATGCTAAACTCGAGTCTAAGCGGGGAGTCACATTATGCCAGTGGTGGAGCTCCAGGTGTTCCTTCCTCGCTAGCCGAGTCGTTGGTATCGTATCGCGGTGGACGATATGTTAATATGGGTGATACTTCCTATGATATCGCAGACGAGATGGCCTTGCTCGAGAGTCATCAGTCCGGCGTATCGTTGAACGGTTCTAGCCCAGCTTCCTCGGAGACTCACAGCACCTTCAAACGTCTATTATCACACAGCAGCCTCCTCCGACGAGGTGGATTAGCGTCTGCATTGCCTATTCGACGTGGACTCGTTCAGAAACCAGGCGACCCGTACGTCAGCTCGGTAGGTGCGAACTCGTCTACGCCAACTATCACGCTGGAGCAAGCCATCTTGGGTGGAGCAACTGGTACGGGAGGAAGTGG